TATATATATATATATATATATATTCATGAGAGGAGAGGACCTCTGTTACGGACTAAATTGTGCCCACCTCCACCCCAATACCAGGCAAAATTCACACGTTGAAGGGCTCCACCCCCAATATGATGGTATATTGAGATAAGAGTGATAAAGAGGTAAGATTAGGGGACATCATAAAGGTGGCAGCCTAATCCAATGGGACTGCTGTCAGAAAAGGAAGAGACACCTACAAGACAGGGAAAGAGGTCTCACCAGAAACCAGCCCTCCCAGCACCTTGATGTTGGACTTTCAGCCTCTAGAACTGTAAGAAAATAAATTTCTATTGTTTAAGCCACTTTGTCTATGGTATCCTGTTATGGCAGCCTGGGCAGACTAATACAACTGCCTTTTAATTACTTTTGTAATATTTCAGGTATATTAGTTTTGTCTTTCCAAATAAGCTTTAAAAGCCACAAATTCAGAGTCTGAGTCTGTTCACAATTTTCTCTATAAAATAATCCTATGAGGGCAACAATAAAGTTTATTTCCAATAAACTTGGAAATAATTTGCCTATGAGAAATCAGTAAGAACCAATATAGGATGGCACAATTCTTCCTCTGTGGAAGAAACATACTCTAAGAGGTGTTTGGTAATGTTGGTGATTTGGGCACTGGTTATGGTCATTATTATGGTGATTAGGCTTTGGGAAGAAGATTAATGTTAAAAAAAGTTGTGCCATTTTTACTTTGTTCAGCATCTGACAAAACAATCTATTCACCTAAATATGGTATCTGCATGGAATCTGCTCAAAAAGATAAAAATAGGGCTGGCCGAAGCAGCCGACGTGAGCAGCCATCCAGAGGCCAGCGACTGATCTGCCTCTCCCTGGAAGAGAGCAATGACGGTGTCAGCTTGGGCCAGTGAAGTAGCATCCTCCACAACTAGACTGAAGAACAAAACAACAGCAAGAACAAAACAACAGCAACTTGTCTGTTCCCCTTCCCCCGATTCCCCAATAAAAATCTTTAAAAAAAAAAAAAATAGGGCTGGCCAAGTGGCGCATTGGTTGAGTTAGCTTAGGACGCCAGCTCTGAGCAGCAGGGCCCCTGTTCAGATCCCACATATGAGGGCCAGTGACGCTGCGCCCTCTACAGCTAAGACGGTGAACAACAGCTTGACCTGGAGCTGGGCTGCCGTGAGTCGCCGGGGAGGGCGGCGTAGGCTGCAGTCGGGCTGGCCAGCAGCTGGCAGGCGATTTTGTGAGCCGCCGTGAGCCGCTGTCCAATGGCCGGCGAATGACTGCCTCACCCGGGAAGAGCGCAATGATAATACCAACATGGGCCAGTGAAGCCACGTCCTTCACAACTAGACTGAAGAACAAAAGGGACAGAGACTTATCTATTTCCCTTCCCCAAGTCCCCAATGCTGGTCCCCTCCCCCAATTCCCCAATAAAATCTTTAAAAAATATATAAAAATATATCTCTGGGTCTCCAGTGCCACTGAGGCAGAGGTGATATCATAGCTACTAGTCTCCTTGGCAGGTGCATTCCTAAGGGCCATGAAGGAAAACCTCAGAGACATAAGCCACCAAACGTTGGAACCTCCAATCATGTGTCCTTGCCTGACTCCATGCTCACCAAAGACTCATCTGATTATAACTGACTCCACATATCATTTTCTATGGGGATGAAGAGTGTTGATCAAGTGAGACTAAATGCCCTGTTTACATGATCTGTATTTCTCAGTATGAATTGACAAATCAGCATTCTGGTTTATTTACTGAGTGCTTACTATGTGCCATGCACTGTTTTAGGCACTAAAGATGCAGTAAAGACAAAACAAAACAAAACCAAACAAACAAACAAACCCTAACGAAGCGCACATTCTAGTGGGGAGACAATCTCCAAGTAAACAAAGTCAAAATAATCTTAGAGAGCCGTAAGTGCTATCAGGAGAGTGTAAAAAGTCAGAGGTGACAATTTTGTACAGAGTGATCAGGTAAAGCCTCTGAAGAGGAGATATTTGAAGTAAGACCTGAATCACAAGGAAGACCTATCATTCAAAGAGCATTCTGTTGTAAGAACAGCTAGTGCATAGGCTCTGAAGTGGGAACACATTTGTTGTGTTTAAAAGGAAGACCAGTTTAAGAGAGTAGTACCAAGATAATGTTTCATGTGTGTTTAATTTGCATGAGTCAGTCTCCTGAATCTGATGAAATCTGATTCACTGCCAAAATTTAATCTCCAGGCCGGCAACACTAAGGACCAGACCTGGTATAGTTGGAAACGCCAAGATGGTCCTCAATAATCTCTGCCTCCTGTTATTCACACTCTTATATCTTTTCCTCCCATATTATATACTGCATTTCCCCAAAAATAAGACTGGGTCTTATATTAACTTTTGCTTTAACAATCTACATTTATTCATTTATTCATGTACAAAAATCTGCATTGATTCAAACAGTCATGTCTGGCTGACGATCTTTTTTTTTTAAGATTTTTATTGGGGAATTGGGGGGATGGGAACAGTGCTGGGGAATTGGGGTAAGGGGAACAGACAAGTTGCTGTCGTTTTGTTCTTCAGTCTAGTTGTGGAGGACGTTGCTTCACTGGCCCAAGTTGGCACCATCATTGTGCTCTTCCCAGGCGAGTCACCGACTTCTGGACGGCCGCTCACTGCGGCTGCTGGCCGCTCACGCTGGCTGCTGGCTACATACGGTGGCCCATGGCAACCCACTGCCATAGGGGCTGCAGCCTACGCCATCGCCAGCGACTCACGGCAGCCCAGCTCCAGGTTGAGCTGTTTGTTCAGCATCTTAGCTGTGGAGGGCAGTGTCACTGACCCTCATATGTGGGATCCGAACCGGGGCCCTCTGGCGTCCCAAGCCAGTTCTTAACCATCGCGTCACTTGGCCGGCCCTGGCTGATGATCTTAACTGGGGCTTATGTTTATGGTAGGGCTTATATTATGAACATCCTGAAAAATCACGCTTGGGTTTATTTTCTGGTTAGGTCTTATTTTCGGTGAAACACGGTAACAAGGTTGGTCTGTGTGACCAACACAGGCAGAAGTGATGATATGTCACTTCCAAGTTTAGGTTACAAAACGACTGAGGCTTTCAGCCTACATACTAGTTAGTATTCTCTCTCTCTCTCTCTCTCTCTCTCTCCACCCTCTCCCTCTCCCTCTCCCTCTCCCTCATCTCTTACTCTACTGAAAGCTATGTGCCATATTGTGAGCAGTCTAATGGAGAATCCCACATAGCCTCTGTCCAACAGGCATTGAAGAACTGAGGCCTGCCAACAACCATGAGTGAACTTGGAAGCAGAGTCTCCAGCCCCAGTATGCCTTGAGATGACTGCAGACCTGGACAACAGCTTGACTACATCCTTGTAGGAGACCCTGAACCAGAGCCACCAGCTCAGCCACTCCTGGATTCCTGACCCTCAGAAACCAAGTGAGGTAATAAAAGTTTATTATTTTAAGATGTGAAATTTGAGGGTAAGTTGTTACCCAGCAATGGATAATAAATATACCTGGATTGCAGTTATTTTACCAGGGAGCTGCAACACTTCAGCAATGTCCCTTTCAGTGCTTTATTTTTTAGGCTCAAACAACCCACATTTGAAGAATGGCTTATAGTCCTCAGCTTGCTGTCACACCTCATGGAATCCTTGCAATATCCCTGGAGGAATTAGAGGAAGAAATTAGGGCTATGGAAGGGTTAAGCCATTTGCCCAGATGCACATAGTGAGGGGGGTATTCTTTGCTTTGGCTCCTGGTCTCCTACAGGGTGTATCTTCCACTGTACTAAGCAGCTGTTTATGGAAGGAGAGACTAATAGGTTTTAACCACTTGATGGGAATGCCCTAAAGGGCAGGGACCCTTTGAGAAGAAAGAACTACGTATTTCCAAATACTGTCATGCATAAGAATCATTGGAGAAACTTCTTCAAAATCCAGATTCCTAGGCCCCTTTCCCTCTCCAGAAACAGGATTTCCTTCATGTGAAGGTGGGGTCTTCTACATATTTAAATGCTTCCTGAGAGTTTCTTATACACTTTGAGAAATTGTTTTGGTAGGGAAAGGAAGGACTGGTGGTAGTTAAATGAAGCTGGTGATGATGATGGTCAATGGACAAGAGAGGAAGGAGTCATGTGCTGAGGCAGGGGAAGATAAATTCTATCGTATAATTCTTATTATTCACCAAATGCTATAGGACACATACTAGGTTCTAGGCACCCTGTTAGGTGCTGGGGACACAGCCATCGATAAGACATATATCATCTACTATCTTGATGAAAAAAGAAGATTCATCCTTGAAAGAGCAATGTCAATAAGAATTTGAAGGAGTTTCAGGGGTAAGGGAAATGTGAGAGAAAACAGGAGGCCAAGGTCAAGGTCAGGAGAGGGAGTTGGATGGGACAGTTTCTAGGGGCTAGAAGAAGCAGGAAGCCCACCTCTTCTGGAGTGAGCCTAACCAGTTATTTCTGCTGTCTATCTCTCTGTGGAGCTCCTCTTCCCTTCCCATTTTTTCACCTTGCCTCTTCTCGGTACCTCCCACTTTGCTTCATGCCCTGTGTCTGGAGTCCATCTTGAACTAATGACTGGTATTTAAAAATACTGGCATGCTGCTGAGTTGTTCAGTTTAAAATGGTTAATTATGTCATGTGATTTCATCTCAAAAAAAAAAAAAAGAATACTAGGTGCTCATATCCATCCATCCAAATCAGCCAAGCCTGCCATGCTCCAGGACACTGTCATTAAATTAAAGAGCCTCTACATAGGCTCACTGCCTCCCTACCATAACTTAGGTCCATCTGCCAGGCATCTGTGACTTCTCTTCCCATTTTTGCTTGCACCATAATTCCCAGACTTGTTCCAAAGATGTTCTCTCCTTCACCAGGTCTGGTCTATACTAGAAGTAAGGCAGGGAAAAGAGCTTAGTACTTAGCTGTGTGACCTGGGATAAGTTACTTAACCTCCCTAAACATGGCTCTTCAAGAAGCTGAAACCACTTACCTTAATCATCATTCAACAGTATGAGATTATTTCCTTAAAAGAAACAGGGCCACTAGATCAGCTTGGTTCAGGAAAGGAGGGGTATCTTCCCAGAGGAGATAAAGCTAGAACTGAGGTTTAAATGTGGCATTACTAGTTAGTAGGCGAAGAAGAGGAAGAATGTTTTACAGACAAGTTCAAATTTGTTAACCTCTCTAACCCTGTTTTCCTGCTTGTTCAATGGAAGTAATAGCACCTTCTTCCAAAGGTCCTTATGAAAAGGAAATGAGATCTCAGGTGTGAAACACCTAACACAGTGCCTGGCACACAGTACATGTTCAACAAATGCTGCTTTTTCTTTGCATTCCACCTTTCACATGTGTAATCTAGGAGAAGAGAACCTTAGATTCAAAGGAGGCAAAGTCCCCTACAGGGTGGGTTTGTAAGCCCCTTTATCCACCCAGGTAATTGGCGATCATCATGGAATCTGGCCAAGCTAGTTGTTTGGAATGAGTGGCCTTAGGGGTAAGTGGTCACAGTATTGAGGGAAGGCAAATTCAGGGACAGCAGAGTGAAAGGAGTCAAAGCAGGTAGTCCCTTCTCCTTCATGCTATCTCTAGTCCTCCAGTCAATCCAGCCCACTCCTGACACTCTTGAAATAGCAGATAACCTCAAAGAAAGCAGAAAGGGGCTAATGTATACAGAGTAATGACATGGCTGGCATTGGGCTAAGTCACTGGGCACACATTGTCTAGTTTGATTCTCACCAAGTTGCAGGTACCAATTAAAGAGGATAAAACTAAAGGGTAAAGCTCAGAGTGGGTAAGTCAGTTGTCCCAGGACATTTACTAGTGAGGAGCAAAGCTGGAATGTATCCAAAATTCCAGGCCAGGGTTCTGTGGCTTTTGGTTCCCTTTACTCCCTCTAGTGCTGACCTCTGCCTGGGGAAATGTGAGGAGGGAGACACAGGCAGGGGATGCTGTCAAGGAAATATTTGTGTAAGCGTGTATGCCTTCAGTCATGTCCGTCTGCCGCCCCTGCCCCTCCCTCCCCATCGCTTGGGGGTGGGGACAGGGAAAGCTGGGGGTGAAGGAATCCACATTGTGAATGGGAATGCTGGAGTTAGTGTGTGGCTGTGCTTATAGCTCCCCTCCCCCACCGTTTCCTAAACACATGGGAGGGGGTCCCCATCCCTAGGAAGGCCCTCTTTTCAACCCCAGACTCCGCATCCGCCCGTCATTTCACGCTCCCTCAGCAAAAACTAAGGTGGAGAGAAAGGGGTCTCATAAACACTTAAGCCTCCAGATCTGTAACCCTCCCCCAGCCAGTTAAGCCAGCTGTGCAGACTGGGGAAGGAGGGAACTTTCACAATCAATTCTCTCCCCCCCCCCCGCAAATAACAAAGGGGAGGAGGACCCCCCACCCAACCTAGTCTGGACCAGATGCTCTAGGGAGGAGACACCAGCCCAGGTCCACAGCGTCTACTCCTGGAGCCCACCCTGAAGCTTAAGGAAGAGAAGCTAGCAGCTGGGGACCCCCCAGAAGGGAGGGGGCCAACTCTCTTTTCCAGACGGCTCCCCTTCCCTCCCTCCTCCTTGCTAATAGGTATTTCCTGTTTATGAGGCAGCTATGGCTGGGCTCTTGGGAAGAGATGGAGATAGAGCCCCCAACACCCCCTGCCCCGGCCTGGGTTGGGGAGTCCTTGAGGAGTGCCTGAAGGTTGTTGAGGCTCCTCCCTGGGGAAGGAGTGTTCCACAAACATTGACTATCTAGACCCCCGCCCCCCCCCACACACACACCGTGGCCACAGCCCCTACGGATAGGGGGCACTGGAGGAATCTGCTTCCAGTTCTCCCCCGTCTCCAGGCCCTCAAAGAAGAGCAGCTTCCAGGCTGGGGGGGAAAGGGGGGGGTTAGGCCGAGACTGGATGGAGAAAGGGGGAAGGGAGGAAAGTGTCTTGACTGATGAGTCAGAGCCTGCAAGGGGGAAGGATGGCCTGCGGAATACCCCCCTCCCCAGTCCAACCTGGCTGGTCATTCCGCGGGCCCCTCCCCCCAACAAAACGCAGATCCCTGGGCCTTAGGCGGAGGAGGGCGGGGACCCCATTTAATTAGCTCTAGTCCCAACTGGTTTAGCAGGCAAGGGAGGGATGGTTAATTTAGGGAAGAAGTGAATTGAGGGGTTACTACAAGAATTAGGATTGTGCTTCTTTCCCACCCAGGTTTGGGTGGAGGCATACAAGGGGAGTCCAGAGGAAGTCTGGGGTCTCAGCAGTGCGCAAGGGTGGGGGGTCGGCAGTCCCCTTTTCCCTCCCTGATCGCGGCCGGGGGGTGGAGAAAGAATTACACCTCACAGCCCATCCAGGCTCCGCCTTCCCCAGTCCCGGCTCCCGCTCCAGCTTCTACGCTCCCAACTCGGCGACGCCCGGAGGACGGACACCGAGTGTGAGGCTTCGCCTCTTATCCCTCCCCCTCGCCCTCCCTCTGGGGTCTCTGCCTCCGTCTCCTTTTTTAAAAGCTGCGTCACATGCATGCTGTTCCCTGAACGCTCTCGGCCCCTCACCGCCCGCCCGCCGCGCGGCGCACGCACGTCGTCGCTCGCCGCGCGCCCGCCCGGGTCACTTTGACATGGCTCTCCCCTCCCACTAGCAGGCAATTAGCATATTAATAAAGCCCAGCCCAGCCCGGCTGGGGCTGAAGAGCGGGCGCCTACTAGAGCGGGAGCGAGGAGAGCAAGAGGGAGAGGGGGGCGAGCGGCGGCGGCGTTGGCGGCGTTGGCTGCGGGGAGGGCGGCGGGAGCGCACAGACACGCACACGCGCACACACGGACACACACTCGGGAGACGCACACCCGCGCGCACACACTCAGAGGCAGCTCGCCTTCCTGCCTGGCTTCCTTCCTGTCTGCTCCGCGCCTGACAGGCCCCTCGCTGCAACCAGGGCCCTCCCGCACCGGGCCGAGGCCGGGCCAGGCCGGCGGTAAGGGCAGCGGGGGCCGCAGGCGACGACTGTAGCTCATGCCCGGCCTGTCCCCGAGCGGGGCAGGCACCGTGACTCGGCTGGGCCCCCAGCGGCGGGCGATGTGAAGATGTCAGTGGGCTGTGCCTGTCCTGGTGAGTGGGGCGCGCGGCCGCCCGGCCCCTCCCTCCCTTACCCTCCCGCAGATCCCTCACCCCTTGTTTGGCGAGAACTTGTGTGGGGGCCATCGATGGCATGGTGGAGGTCGGGGGCTGTGAGGGGTATGCGGGGCCTTAGTCCGGGGAAGGGTTCGTCCCAACTGTGTAAAATGCGCAGCAGCCTGGAGACACGGGGAGGGGGTGCTGGGGATAGATGGTGTATATGGTTTTTTTTTGGGGGGGAGACTACTTGGGGGGGCTGAAATTCCCAGAATTCCACGGTGGTAGCCAATCAGAAGTGAGTCTGGACTTTTGACCCCCCCCTCAGGTCATCATTGAGTTGTGATTGGCTGGTTTGGGTTGCCCCCCCCTTCCCTGTTGCCTATTCCCTCTTACATATCCTGTGACACCCCCCTCCAGGCTGTTTTTGAGGACCGTGTTTGGGGGGAGGGATTAATTGGGGCCCATTTTGCCCCCCTCCAAATTTTCCTGCCTGTTGCCAGGGAAGGTTGGCCCTCCTGAGAAACAGGAGGTACTCCTAGGGGGCGGGAGGGACAGATAATTGGGCCCTGGGGTCTGGCATCTCAGCCCTAGTGGGAGGAGGAATCTGGCAGCCCTAGGAACTAGAGTGATTTGTGAGATTTGAGTTGAGGGGAGTAGTGCTTGACCCCAAAGTGTGAACTTGAAAGAGGACTTAGGCTCAGATCCCTGCCTCCCCAAAACACATATGAACTCTTGTCAGTGACAGCCTGGGTCTGAGTCTTTCCTGGGGAGGGGAAGAGAGGCTCTCACTCACTGCCAGGAGGAAAGAGAAGAAGTGATGTGACTGGAGAAGTAGTCTTCAGAGGACCTCAGAACACTATCAGTATCCCCAGGACTCCGGGTTCTTGAATATCTGCAGGACCCCATCCTATCTCAGGCTGGAGTTAGCTTTCTTCTGAAAGTCAGGTGTCCCTGAATCTATCCTGGTTTGGATCCTTTGCCCCTCTAGATGCCCTGTTTTCTAGGAGGCCCATACCCTACAACAGCCCTCCCCCACAACCCCCAAGGGAAGCTGCCAGTGAGGAAGCTTCCTTGAAAGTCATGTGACCCAAGCCAGGCTGGGCTGGGCACACAAAGTGCCTGCTGAGGCTGACGTTTAAGGGGTATGGGGCCCAGAGGGAGGGCTAGTAGAGCCTGAGGATCCTGGAATATCCGGGTGTGGGAACCGCTGGCTTCTGCTGCAGAGGGTGGGGAAGAGGAGAGGAAAGAGCTTACTAAGCTGGAATCCTGCCTGGCTGGCCCCATCATTCCTCCTCCTACCAGCTTGGTGTACATATTTGTATTTTCTTCTTTGTAATTACCCCATGCTGGGTACACTGTTTGGATCCATCCATGCTCTGAGTCCACCCCATGGCCTTGAGCTTCCATTGCCACACATGAGCATAGCAGAAACTAAGGCTCTGAACATACTAGAAGGACAAGTCTTTTGATTCTTAGTTCCTACAAACAGTGGGTAAGGGTCAGTATGGGTTGTCAGGTTGGAGGTAGATGGGAGGTTGGTCCCGAAGTTGGGGCAGGGTGCCTGGGTCCAGTAAGAGAAAGGAGAAAGTTTCCCCTTCAGTCTGGGAGCAGCATGGGGACAGGATGAGGATCTATGCGCAGATGTGTGTGTGTGAGGGGGTACAACTTCAGTCAGTGCCCCAAAAGGCATGTTTCTTTTGTGTGCCTGGTGGCCTAGACAGGTGACAGGAGCCAAAAGATGGCCAAGAGTGGAAAATCTTTTTCCCGAATGTGAAGGAATCTTATGGATTGATGCCACAGAAGATGGATGGAGGTTAGACTTCAAGGAGAACCACACCAGGAAGGACTTGAGAGCGGCCTGGGGGTGGGGAATGGTAGGACTTGGAGTAAGAGAGGGGACGAGGCTTGCATGGGTGGATGGGAGCACATGGTTGAACACAAGGGCATCGAGGCAGCATATATAGTCCAGGCCCAAAGAGCCCGCCCCCCCCCAACCTGAGCAGCCCTACGGTGGGGGCCAAGGCGCCCTGGCAGGCCGCCTGCCTGCTGCCTGCCTGCCTGTCTGAGTCTCTCCTTTGTGCTCTGCTGTCTCCCAGCTCCTCCTCCCCCAGCCCAGCAGAGACAGCACATGCCCCACACATGTGACTGAGGGAAGCCAGAGCACATGCAGACCCACACACATGCACACACAGAAGGAAACACCACAAGATACACACATACACATACACATACACCCAGCTCCCATGGTGCTCCTGGGGTGGGGGAATAGCTTCTGGGGTTTTCATCAGGAGCAGGGAGAACCTCTGCTAAGAGGCATCGCCCTGGGCAGAGCAGGTTGCTGAGGGGTCCAGGGCCTGTCTGGGGCAGCATGTGGCTCAGAAGGGTTAAGGCAGAGAGGAGTAGGGGGAGGGGAGAAGGCAGCAGTGGTGGCGGCTGGGAGCCAGGAGAGGAGGATGGCAGAGCGCCAGGCCAACGGGAGGCCGGGCACAGACAAAGGAAGGGGGGCAGGCACACTGGAGGCCTGGGTCAGGGAGCCCCAGGGGCCCGCGCAGGGGGCAGTACTGGTACCTTATCCTGTGGGCTGGGGCAGGCTGCTGCCCTTCAGACTCCCCACCTCCAGGAGGGGTGCTCTCCCTCTTCTCTCCCTCATCACCTTTGTCATTCTTTGCTGCTTCCTAACCGCCCCCCCCCCCAATTTTAGGGTCTTCTAATTCAGATCTCTTCTGCCCCTGTGCAAGTGGGGGAATGAAGTCAGAACTGAGGAGCAGACTTGCTAGAGAAGGGGAACTAGGAGGGGGCCTGTTTTAAGAGATATGCCAGTCTTGGTATGTCTTGGTATTTAGGGGCTCTTCTCCCCACAATTTGAGGAGACAGACTGGGTGAGGGTTCTGAGCTCTGAACTGGAGGTAGAAGCCAGAGCACACACCTATCCCTCCTTCCCCATGTAGACAGTCATGTGGGGCCTAGAATGGCCATTCCTTGGAGGGGGAAGGGAGTAGGAATGGCTGCAATGCCCCAGGGCTGGGCTTGGATGAGTGGGGTTAGAAATCCAGGATTCCAGCCTCAGGCCCTCCTGTCTCACTGGAATCTGCTGAAGTTAGGATAATATTTGTCCCTGTACTGCAAGGATATCTTGAGGTACTGCCTATTAATGCACTTTGGAAAGTTTAAAGGCAGGAAACAAATGACAGGAATTGTCCTGTCAGTGGGGAAGGAGTGTGGTTATCCAGAGTTGGGCTGTAAATTTGGGAGTCAGTGGGAATGTCTCAAATGCTAGTGTAGGCTGTATGTTGCAGTACGGTATCTGAATGTCATAGATTTTGATAATTTGTGAAAGCCGTGGTGTATCATGGCCAGGCCATGATGGAGAATAGTGCACAGGTTTCTGCAAGGGGTTAGTCTCTGGGTAACAAATGGTCAGGCTGTGTAGGCAATAGTCTGTCACAGGTTCAGGAGGTATAATGCTGTTTTGGTGTGCATATTGGGGTCAAGGGGCATGCATGTCACCGTTTCCAGTGTGTATAGAAGTCGGGGGTCTGACATAGACTGTGTATGTGAGTGTATCCTGGGTTTGGGTTTTTTAGGGTTTGAGGTATATCGGGTTGAAGTATGTATCAGGTACTGATTTATGTGAAAGTGAGACATGTTATTTATGTGCGGAAGATATGCACAGAGCCAGGTGCAACATTATTACTCCATAGTCAACTGGTGTGTATATCATGAGAAATCCTGTCATGGGACAGTGTGTGAATATGGTCGGGGGGTGGCAGGGAATAGGGAGCAGAGACTCAACCTACAGTGAAATAGGTCATATGCTGCCTCCTCCAGTGTGTGTGTTTCTTTTTGCCTGTCTGTCCAGGTAATAGGTCCTGGACCATTACCCAAGCTTTAGAAACACCCCCTGTCTTGGGATTCAGCAGCAGGCTAGGCCCCTTCTGGGGACGCTTGGTTAGGCAAGTTCGCCTTCCTTAACTCTGACAGTGCCTTTTACCCCTGCACCCACGTGTCTCCAGTGGTTGGGGTGAGGAGGGGCTTCCTGCTAAGACAGATCTAAGTCAGGGCTTGGAACTTAGCTGGGTTGGGGGCAGGGAGCCCGGAGTGTCCCCCTCCCTCCAATCAGTGTTTACAGGCTGAAGGCAGAGTGTGTCTGTCAAAAATAACCCCCTGGAGCCTCCCCCCAGCTGCTCTGGCATTTCACAAGGGTCTGAAGCCCAGGGTGGCAGCCTAGACCAGCCTTCAACCGGAGAGTTCACAGGAGAGATTTGGGGGACTTTGGGGAGGCAGTTTAAAGATACTTGGGAGTCTCCAGAGAGTGCACCCTCCGTCCCTGCCTGTGGCTTTGGCTCCCCTGCTCACCCCTGAGCACCCAGGCCTGGGGCTGGGGGGTAGGGTGGCATTTCAGTTCCTGGCCCCCCGCAGGCCTCTTCTCCATCCAGATCTCTCCAGGCCCAGCCTGTTCTGTCTCCATCTCTCCATCTCCTGTCTCTGCCAGTCTCTGTCTCTCTTTTGTTTTTCTCAGCAGTCCTCCCTGCCTGCCTGCCTCCCTCTCTCTCCCTCCCTCTCTCCCTCTTCCTCATCCCTCACAGGGAGGGGGCGGAGCCGGTGGGGGCAGCTCCACCCTCCGCCCGCCCTGGGGCCTCATTCTGAGAGAGGCTCTGAAAGCGAGCGAGGAGGGAGGGAGAGAAAGGGAGAAAAGGCAGGGAGCCGGCGGGCGCTGCGTGTGTCTGTGCGTGTGTGAGTGAGAGTGTGAGTGAGTGTGAGTGCTGGGCCCTGCCTTGCCTGGTGCCCCAGCAGAGGGGCCTGGTGGCCTGGGGAGGGCGGGCGGGCTGCTTGGAGGCAGAGGCAGCGAGAGGCGGCGGCGGCGGGGAGAGCCGAGGAGGAGGAGGAGAGAGGAAAGAGCGGAGCAGCCATTGTTGAGGGAAACCTTGCAAACAAAGAAGGCTCCGGACTCCCCGCTGCCCCCCGCCCCCCAGACCGGCCCCCTGGCCCCCCGGCCCCCTGCCCAGTGGCCATTGTAACTTTCCCCCGGGGCTGTGGCCGCCTCGGGGCGGGCCGAGGCTGTGCGTGCGAGTCTTTGTGCGGCCCGCGGAGTGGAGCTCGCAGCCAGGCCTGCCTGTCCCACTCGGGACATGAGCCGTTGAAGTTGACCCCCCCTCAGTCTTCACCCCTGCCAGGGTCCCGCTGGGCTTGCAACCGCTCCCCGCATCTCTCCTGGCCCCCTCAGTTCTCCCAGGTAAGTCTGGGTACCCTGCAAGCCTGTAGGGAGTGGGTGGAAGGTCCTGGGTCTGGCCCAGGCCTGGTATGCTGGCTGGGGGAATGGTGCCCCAGCTCAGAGAGGCCTGGGCTCCCAGGCCTGCTGACCTCTGGTCAGACCCCAAAGGGAGGGGGCCTGCTCTCAGGTCAGGCTGGTAACCGTGGAGATGCCCAGCTGGAGGTGCCCCCTCGGCCCCAGGATACAGCTTCCATCCTGAGAAAACTTGACCAGTTCTGGGCTCTCCCTCTCTTCTCCTCCATCCTAAGGGCTCCCAGATTGCGAGAGGTGGAAGTGGGAGCTGTGTCTGATTCCAAGGCCGGATGACACATCCCCTTCACCCCACCCCCACCTTTCTCCCTCTACCCCTGCTGCTGGGGACAGGCAGCAACAGGGACAGATGGTCTGGGTGATGTTCCCTCCCCTTCTCTTCTCATTCCCAAGCCCTTGTGCTGGGGTTACTGGGAGTTGCTATGGCTCTGAAGAGATGCTGAGTTTGTGTCCATTCACTGGAGGTGTACATAGAGGCCCCAAAGCTTTGGGCTTTAGCTCCTTAGAAGTGTTACCCAGCCCCAGGCAATGCCTGTCAGTTCGCTAATGGGAGAAATTGAAGCTCTGAAACTTTTTTCAGAATTAAGAGAGGAACCCAGGTATCCTACCTCCCTTCTTTTTAGGGTCTTGAGCTGACATGTTTCTTCAAGTAGCCCTGAAACTGTGGGGCAGGGGCAGTGATGCTTTGGGGGAAGGATGGCCTAGTTAGGGGACAAGGACTGGGTCCAGTGATCTACTCATGAGTTCATTGCCCAGACCTGGGCCCTGGTGAGCTGTGTGAGCTTTGGCTTCTTATGTGGGGTTGGTCTCCCCATCGGTGGAGTGGGGAGACTTGGGGTTGGGTGGGACTATCTTTTTCCTGAGGACACAGGTTCCTCAGTCCAGACTGGCATGTGAAGGCTGTGTGTGCTGTGTTGGGAACATGTGGACGTGGCCTGAGAGAGCTCATGCATTGGGCAAGGGCCTATTGCCGGCACCCTGATGCTGCCTGGGGCTGCTAGGTTCCAGCCCTCGGTAGGCATGTTGGGGCGAGCTGAGGGTAGAAGCCTGCTAGGCAGGATGAGGCACACGCATGTGCAGGCACAAACAGGCTCTGACTCTTGGCACCTTCAGGGACAGTGTAGTGTAGTCCCTCTGGGACCCTCCTTTTGCCATATTGTGAGGAGGGGGCCCTGGGGAGAGAATTAAATGGCACACGTTGGCACAGTGTCTTCCTTTGTCTCTTCCCCCCAAGGAACAAAATAGATTTTGTATCTAAATTGGGGAGGGGGCTCAGATACAGCCAAATATAGCTATCCTTCCAAATGCAATCAAGTTTGGGGGATGTGAGGAAGCAACTATGATGACTGGGGTCAGGACCTTTGGAATGATACCTCAGTTTCCCCTCATCTTATAGGGAGTGGGGAAATAGCATTGCAGAGGTACCTGGCTCACACCCAAATATGAATATAATACTTCTTCCAGTCAGGAAATAGTACACCAGGAGCTGCGTGCTGCTGGGTGAGGTAGAGAAGGGACACATGTGCACATGTACAGATACACACAGGCAGAGACCCCTGTCTGGTTACCACTTGCCTCCTAGATTGAGCCCCCTGGAACTTAGGCTTCTTCCCAGGTCTCCTCTTTCCTGTTTGTAGAGAGAGTGGGATCCAGTAGAGACCCCTCACCTCCCTCTCCCACTGCAACTCTCAGAAGACAAAATGGGTTGAGGCTTTGGGTTTCTGGTTTGGAGACCGTACTAGAAGAGAGGTGGGTGTGGGGGAGGGGGCTGGGCTGATAAGGGAGTGGCCGTTGGTGGGGGAGGCAGAAGGTCCAACTGGTTATCTGGTGGGCGGCACCCAGCAAACACCCACCCCCCTTTATCTTTCTATCCCTTACTCTCTTGAGACCCTGGGTGGTGGAGGAGGGGCAGGGAGTTGGCAAAATCCCCCTTCTTTCTCCCCCAACTTGGTCTCCAGAGGGCAACAGAAGAGTAGAAATACTGCATGATATGGGAATCAGAAGATCCGGGCTCAGGCCCCAGCTCTGTGATCTTGGCAAGACCCCTTGAGCTTTCAGTTGCCTTATCTGTAAAATGGGAATGTTACAGTTGACCCTGCTACCTCACATGGTGGTTGTGATGATTGAACAAAATAATACAGATGAAAAGTGTGTTTATCAAAATTAGATTCTAATGTTTGGGTATTTATTTATTCTACCATATTGACATTTCTCAGTTTCAATTCTGTCATCCAGGGCTCAGCCACATGAAGCAATGGGGTCTTGGGTATTGGGGCTGGGTACTTCTAGTTTCTTAATAAAAGAAGATTGGAGCCAGATTTAGAAGCAGAGGTAGGTGCTCCCTAAGGTAGCCCCCCTCTCCTAGTCCACTCTGGGGCTCTAGAATACCAGTCTCTGTCCACACAGTCTAGCAGTCTTCCAGGAGAGCCCCCAAGAGGGACTCAGGGCACCCCTTCTTCCTTTCCCTTCTAGGTTGTTCCTCAAAGTCATTCAAGCTGTACTCGCCGAAGGAGCCCCCGAACGGCAACGCCTTCCCCCCCTTTCATCCCGGCACCATGCTAGATCGGGATGTGGGGTGAGTCTCTTGTTCACTTCCGATCCCTTCTCCAGAAGGGATCCTACCTGAAAAGGGGAGGGCGTGACACCCCCAATAATTCCTGTCTTTACCCCCATTCTCATAGCCTCTTCCCTTATACAGCCCAACTCCTATGTACCCGCCTACATACCTGGAGCCTGGGATTGGGTAAGTGGAGTCCAGTGGGAGGGAGGTGCTTTCTATTACATGGGTGACGGCAGAAGTGATGTGGGGTGGGGCAGCTCTGCTCTTACCTCTCTTCTTCACTTACCCCAGGAGGCACACACCATATGGCAACCAAACTGACTACAGAATATTCGAGCTTAACAAACGGCTTCAAAACTGGACAGAGGTATGGCCAGGGGAAAGGACCTGAAGGGGAGAGCCATCTGGGCACCCCTGTGGGGATGTCTTCGGACATACAAACACCCATTCCTGTGCTCCTTAGGAGTGTGACAATCTCTGGTGGGATGCTTTCACAACTGAGTTCTTTGAGGATGATGCCATGTTAACCATCACATTCTGCCTGGAGGATGGACCAAAGAGATATAGTGAGTGGCCTCTGGGGGTCCTGCTAGTTCTGCTGTGAAGGTGTATGCCTCCTGCGTCTTTCTAAGGTCTGGGAGTGGGGTTTTTGTCTCAGGGAGGTTCATCAGTTCTGAAGAGTTTGTCCCATCTCTACAGCTATTGGCCGGACCTTGATCCCACGCTACTTCCGCAGCATCTTTGAGGGGGGTGCTACGGAGCTGTACTATGTGCTTAAGCACCCAAAGGAGGCATTCCACAGCAACTTTGTGTCCCTCGACTGTGACCAGGGCAGCATGGTGACCCAGCATGGCAAACCCATGTTCACCCAGGTCAGCAACCCAGCTGGATGTGGAACACTGAAGCACCTGAGTTTGATTCCCTGCCTCGTTCCCAAAATGTACTCGGCTGTTCCCCAGGGAGGCATAATGGGAAGTGGCCAGATGAGAAGGGAGGGCAGGCATGCTGCAGCATCCGGCAGGCATTTGCTGAGCTTGTGCATGACAGCATTTTGCCTGCCCTCATAGAGATTATAGCAGATAGTTGTATCACTAGCTCCATGGTGAGAGGACAGGATCAGCTAAGCATTTCTTCTGTGCATGTGTAAGGGTCCGGGGTGTGACGGGTATGTAAAGGGATGGTCTATGCCAGTTATGCACTCAGATTTAGGTGCAGCTGGCAGAATTGTATGAAGTGGGAGAGCTGTGAGCAAATGGGAGAACTGGTATATTTTCAGGTGTAGGGGCAGGGGCAAAACTGTGACAAATCTGTCTTCAGGTGTGTGTGGAAGGTCGGTTGTACCTGGAGTTCATGTTTGACGACATGATGCGGATAAAGACGTGGCACTTCAGCATCCGGCAGCACCGTGAGCTCATCCCTCGCAGCATCCTTGCCATGCACGTGAGTGTGGGCAGGACCTAAGATGCACAGCAGAGGGCAGGCAGCGGGAAGGGCAGAACAAGGTCTGCGACCTGATGGTGACCTTAGACAGAGGGTTAGAGTTTCTCCACCTAAAAAATGGATTTGATAAAAGCCCTTCTCCCTTAAGAGTGTTGCGAGGCTCAGATGATAGGAGAGATGAGCAGATGCAACCCAGGTGCTCATTTTCTTCTCTTTCTCCCCCTCTAGGCCCAGGACCCTCAGATGTTGGATCAGCTCTCCAAAAATATCACCCGGTGTGGGCTGTCCAATTCCACTCTCAACTACCTCCGAGTGAGTCTGATCACCTAGACTCTTCCCCATCCCATTTGGTCTCAGCTCCATGTGCCTCCCCTGACAATCCTCCCACCCCCTCTGGTCTCCCCACAGCTCTGTGTGATACTTGAGCCCATGCAGGAGCTCATGTCCCGCCACAAGACCTACAGCCTCAGCCCTCGCGACTGCCTCAAAACTTGCCTTTTCCAGAAGTGGCAGCGCATGGTAGCGCCCCCCGGTGAGTGCCTTGCGCCTGCACCTGCTCTTACCAGGATCTGATGCCACCCTCCAAGGCTGTATCTCTTATCTCCTCATGAAGCCCCTTCCTGGCTCCTGGGTCTGCAAGATTGGGATCAGGATAGGCTCAGGCTCCTTAGGAGCCAGAATGGGGAGCCTGGGGCCCAGGGCCCTGCACCACCTGAGTCTCCTTTCCCTGGCACAGCGGAACCCGCCCGGCAGCAGCCCAGCAAACGGCGGAAACGGAAGATGTCAGGGGGCAGCACCATGAGCTCGGGGGGCGGCAACACCAACAACAGCAACAGCAAGAAGAAAAGCCCAGCCAGCACCTTCGCCCTCTCCAGCCAGGTACCTGTAAGCATCTCGGCTTTCTTCTCTCTTCTGGGCTGCCCCACTGCTGACCCCTGACCCTTGACCCTGTCCCAGTGTGAGCTCACTAGCAGGCATAGAAGCAGAGACAGTTTTCCCCAGTGTACTCTGCCAGCATGGACTGACTTCTGTCACTGATGAGACTCCTTGTTAGTTACATGCGTGGTTGTGATCACACAGACTCAGACATGGCAACATAGGCATAAAGGGACAGAGTCAGCCATGAGAACACACGGACGTTCAGGACAGACAGCTTGGGGGCACACAGACCATCAGAGACACAGACACTTGCACTGATAGAGGGACATGCAGCATTGAATGTATGTGAATTTAGAATACATGCACATACACACACTTCCCCCATTGGTGTTTTTGATCTGCTCCCTCTCTTACATGTGGACAGAAGTTTAGGAACCCCCTAAAATTTTGGGGAGATGGACTAGGGAGGTAGGGGATTAGATTGACTTCTCCCAGAATCTAGTGGATGTGGGTGAAAGGCTCTGATGCTCTGCAGTCCTTCAGTGGGAAGGATTCCAGGGGCTTAGGATGCCAGAGGAGTTGATATTTAAAATTAGGGTATGAGAAGGGGGTGGGGGTGTTGAGTTTCTGGGGTGGGTAGTGGGGCTCTGGGGGTATTTGCCGCCCTGGGCCGGGCGAGCCCCTGCCCCGATTATGTTTGGGGACCTCCGCCACTCTCAGGATGTGATGGTGGTGGGGGAGCCCACCCTGATGGGCGGGGAGTTCGGGGACGAGGACGAGAGACTCATCACCCGTCTGGAGAACACCCAGTTTGATGCGGCCAACGGCATTGACGACGAGGACAGCTTTAACAACTCCCCCGCACTGGGCGCCAACAGCCCCTGGAACAGCAAGCCTCCATCCAGCCAAGAAAGCAAATCGGAAAACCCCACGTCACAGGCCTCCCAGTAAAGGCCTCACCTGGGCCACCCAGTGCTCTGCCTGCCTGCCCCACCCCTTGCAGCCCCAGGGAGCAGAAGACTGAATGAAGAGACTGAGCATCTAAAATGGGCAGCTTCCATCCACCCACTTCAGGGAGGAACTGGACTCGCTAGGGGCAGGTGCCAAGATTTGCCCCCAGTGGCCCTGGGCTGGGACTGGCCTCTGCAGAGCCTTTCGGGGGAAGGGGGTACTCATGTGGATGCCTACGCGGACCCTGGGCCTCTGAGAAATGTCCTGACCACACCCCAGGGCATTTGCCTCCATCCTCACCCCGGGTTCTGGGTTCCCCATCCTCCTGACTCCATCCCCTTCAAGACTGGGGTTGTCTATATCCACAGCCCTTAGGGACTAAAAGGGATGGGGCTTGGTTGAGTGCCCCTCCCCCAAGCCCTGCCCTTAGGCGGCTGGTAGAGGGGTAAATCTCTGGGCTCCCTTCTGCAACCTATTCCAGCTCCAAGTTTTTTAAAAAATAATATTATTAAAAATGTAAGTTTAAAAAAAAAATCACTCATGTCCCCCTTCGCCCCCTTATTAAAAGTCCAGCTACCTCCCTACACCTGGCAGATGGGGGACTTAGGGCCCAGGTGGAGGTGAGTGTGTGGGTAGGGTGGGGGGTGTGCATTATCATTTTATACAGTTTGAGAGCTTCAGACCAAGGAGACACTTTGCCATCTCTCTTCCCTTTTCCTCTGGGGTGATGAGTTGGAGAAGGCATGCCATGGGGTAGGGGGCCATTGATGGCCTCACTTTTGTGACAGCCCCCAGCTGTTGTCTCTGTCTCCCCATCTTCCAGGACTATGGCCTGCCCTCCTAGTGCTTGTGACTCCCTCAACCCTAGCCCCCAACCCCCTCCCCCCATGGTGTGTATATTCTTTACAAGTCCTCCACTAGAGCAGCTGTCTTGGATGGGGGGAGGGGGAGGCTCCCTCCCTCAGGGAGTGTGGAGGGAAGGGAGCAGCCTTGTTTGTCACTGTGTGTTTTGTTTTGTCTCAGTTGGGCAGGCATGGGGTAGGGGAGGGGATCATCCACTCTCTGCAGTACTGCCCCCAGCCCCTCAAATTGCATATGTAGTCATCCCCTGCCCTCCACAGAGGGGAAGGAGCCAATGAGGATGTCCCAGCTCTAAGCTCACCAGGGAGCAATAGGCCTCTGTCCCTCAGCTGGAGTAGAGGGTGTTTATCTCCCAATATCCTTTCCAGTCCCCTTCCTCAGAAGGAAAGGGGAGGCAGCCAGTATCCTCAGCTGTGTGTCAGTTGGACATGTGGAGGCCCCAGGCCCAGGGTGAGGCCAAGAGCAGGGTCCGATGAGTCTGGGCCCAGCTCTGGCTTCTCTGCCCTTTCCCATCTAGTTCTAGAAGCATTAGCACCACCTCTCTTGCCACTCTTCCTTCTGGATTCTGGGGTCCCCACACCCTATCACTCCAGCTGCCACTGTTGGAAGGGTATTGTGTCGAGCTGAGGGAAGGGGTGGGGAAGAGGGATGTCCCACTCCAACTGTAATGCCTTTTTTTTTTTTTTTTTTTTGGCCATTTGAGTCATGTATGGTACCAATCAATAAAGAGACTTTTCGGTTTGACAGTGTCTTGGTTGGTCAATGATGCCCAATAATGACTCAGCCCAAGGCAGCCTTTTCCCCTTCTTCCTGTAGCCCTAAAACCAGTCAATGGAGAGGAGGTATGAATCGGAATTGTGGATTCCCCTTCACTCTCATCTCACATTTCCCCTCATTCTTGTGTTGTTCTTCATGGGCCCCACCCCACCCCCAGACTTGTTCCTCACTCCTAACTGCCATGGGGTTGCTAGACAGGTGGCCCTCCTGAGGCAGGGTTCCTGGGATAGTCAGGCCTGGAGTAGGCTGTTGGGGGATGGGTAGGGAACGAGGTCCCTGCCTAGGTGGAGGCTTGGATTGAAGGAGCTTTGGGTGGTTAGAACTCCTGGGAGGCTCGGTCAGTGTGATTATACCCCTAACTCAGGGACGCCCACCAGCCCAGCTGAAGTCGGAACTAGTCTCCCTTGGTGTTAGGTCCCTGGGTGGGGAAGTCAGAGAATAGTGGGATTGCTGACTGGGCGGGGGCACAGACGGAGGGACGAGGATGCCTAAGCACTGTTGCTAAGGGCAGCCTGAGGCTCCGTAGAAAGATGGAAAGAGAAACATGCACTTTTCAGAGTACTTGCCAAGTAATGACTCCCCTCAGTCCCCTCCTCCTCCACCATTAAAAAAGATTGGCAAGACAGGGAGACTGTGCTGTGGATTAGTGAGGAGGTCTTAGCACCTACAAAGCCCCCTACCCAGCCTCCCTCTTTTTAATTTTTTTTAGCTGAGCCATCCTGCCATGGCAGCTCAGCTCTTAACCAACTGAGCCACTCGGATGCCCCGCCTTGGTCTCCCTCAGTTTTATTCCAGATGGGGATCTGTGGCCTCAGAGTATTCCCCCACTAAGGTCTCCCTGGATCTGAAGTAAGGCCTCATGGACCTACGCCTCTACCCTCACCTCCCAGCTGGTGGAGAAGAAACCACAACAGCACTATATGGCCCACCCTGCCCCATCTTTAATTCATGCAGTGACCTGGGTCCTGCCCTGCTGCCAGCCTACCTCCTAAATGCCCCAGCACTTCAGGACCCCAAGGCCTGCATTTGCACACAAACTCACCGCTCCTCTGCAGGCCTTACCTAAAGGACATTTACCAGCCAGCTGCTACCACCAACCCACCCTGGGAGTGCTAGGTATCACCTACCTGCAGTGTGTCTGTGTCTGGCACTAGTTGTACATCTGGCCTTTTTACCTGAGTGTGTGCTAGTATATGTATGTACGTGACTGCTGAGCTGGGAGAGGGGTATGTGTATGTAAGGGAGCATATACATGTATGGATATGTATATGGGCTAGTATATGCATTTGTTTATGGTATATGTATCTTGGTGGATTCGTTCATTCAGCTAATATTTGTTGCGCTCTCTCCAGGTGCCAGGCCTTACTGTAGGTGCTAGGGCTACAGTGCTGAACAAGGCAGAGAAAGCATGACTGCTAGGTGTAAGAGGTTACATATACAGAAATGAAGATGTGTTGTTTAATGCATGGCTTGGCAGTATGATTGTGTTGGGTTTGGGGGCTGCAGCAGTTGCATGACTGGGTTGGGCATTTGCAGGTTCACATGTGTGTGTGTGTGTGTGTGTGTGTGTGTGTGTGTGTGTGTGTGTTTTGGAGGAGGTGAGGGTCAAGGGAAGAGGTAAATGGTAAATTGTCAGGCTTGGACTCTGCCCTGCTTGGGGGAAGGAGTGTGGCAGAGAGACAGGGGGACCCACTTTTTGAACTCAGGAAGCAAAGTGGCCAGCAACTTCCTCTGGAGCCTCAGATCTGGCTCCTCCCTGTTTGCCCCAGCAGCCCTTCTGGGGAAGGCCCTTGGTCTGGTAAATTGTTGGGGTAGAGGTAGGGAGAGGCCCTTCAAGGCCCTCATGCTCTCTGTTTCCAGGTGCAGGTGAGGAGGGCCCAGCCCCAGGTCCCAGTATAATACTGAAGAATTTGTTTCAGCCCAACTGTGCCCCAGCCAGGCCCCACTGTGGAGGCACACGCCCTGAACCCCCACATCCCTAGTTTAGCCTGGGCCCAGCTCTTTCCCATGTTTCCCGTCCCAGCCCACTCTAGTCCGACTTCTAACCCCTTTCCCCAAAGGTAGGAGTCCAGCCCAACCAGCCCAGCCCAGTTCAACCTGACCTCAAGCCCCAGCCCCTAAAGTGAAAAGTTCTAAACTGCCCTCCCAGGGCCTTCCCTCGCCACACACACACACACACACACACACACAAAGTAAGGTCTTATCTTGGGGATGGGTAGATGCAGAGGTAACCACTCCCGGTTAGGAGCTATGGCCTGGATGAAGAAGGGAAGGTAGAAAGATGGAGAGCAGGAGCTGCTGAAGGTGGCCCAGGCATGTGAGGGGCCAGGCTGAAAGAGGGAATGTGTACAAGTTTTGAGTCAGTGGCCCTCTACTTCAAAATTGAATTTCAAAGATGCTTGTTTTGGGTCCTGCTGGTCCCAGCTCCCAGTACCCAGAATGCTTACAACATTTAGTTATCTACCCTGTGGCCCCACCCCTACCCTGAGGTCTTCAATGATGCAGAACAGGAAATTGGTGGGAGACTATACACACCCTGCAGTTCTTAGCCTGGGTAGTAGGGGAAGCTGAATGGGAATGGAAGCTGACCTATACCTCCAGGTTCCTACTCCAGCCTTGGGAAGGGGCCATTTTTCTACCAAATCTGAGACCCTTTTCCTGAAGTAGCTAAAAACCTGGATTACTCCCCACCCAGCTGCTCCACCTCGGTGCCACCAGCTCACCTCTCCAGGAGAACCTAGAGACAGTCCCTGGAGAAAAGTCCCAAGAGGGTTGTGGGAGAAGAATATTTCCCCCATTGCCTCCAAATAAGTAAGGCTGCCTGAAGGAGGTAGGCATAATTTCTCTCTCTTTCCTTTAATGGATTTCAGGCGCACAGAACTAGATTAATCATAACCTTGGTTCATGACCCACTCTTCATTGTACCATGCACAGGATACATTTATTTAGTTAAAATACTGTCATAAGAACTCATCAACATGAAAGCTAGGACCTTGGCAATAACTGAAATCTAACTGTGGTCCATCCCATCCTACCCTCTCCCAAAATATCCATCATTCTTTTTTCCTTTTTATATACTTAGCTATATGTATTCCTAAAAACATTTTTAATTCTTTTTTTACCTTATTATAAAGGAATACTGCTGTATGTAACTTTGGTGGCTTATTATTTTTACTTAATATTGTATTACTAAGATTCATATTGTTACATATTGTTGCAGTTCATTCATTTTGAGGACTATAATATTTCATTGTGTGACTATACCAATGTTCTTCATCCTCCTGTCACTGGACATTTGGGTTGTTTCTAGGTTTTTGCTATTATAAAGAGCACTTGTATGAATGTTTTTATTCCTACCTCCTATTGTACATATGCAGAGTTTTTCTTGATTATATATTTAAGTGTAATCTCTGCAAACTCATATTCCCACCTGTGATGCCCAGGTCTGAGTGCTTTTACTACAAGAGCGGGTCTAGGATTAACTTGAATTAAAGTTCGAATACTTACAGAGTACCTGCTAATAATATAAGCAACCCTGTTCATCATTCATTCAGCCAGTCAAACTCAGGCTACATTTAGTGAGCATCTACAACATGCCAGGAACTGGAGATAGAAAAATGAACAAGACAACATGGCACATACAGCTGGGCAGGGAAACCTATTAAACAAATAGTCACATATATATGCAATTGCAATTTATGATGTAACTGAATACTGCAGGATAAATATAGGGAGACCTAATTTTTTTTTTAAGATTTTATTGGGGAATTGGGGGAACACTAAAGGTCAGAAACGGGGAAACTAAGGGCCAGAGAAGCCAAGCTACTTGCCCAAGGTCACAGAGTCAGCAAGGATTTTGAATTTCATCCAATTATAATGGGCTGTCACTGAAGGGTCTA